TTATTTTTGGCTGTGTTGGGTCTTCTTTTCTGTGCGTGGGCTTTCTCTAGGTGCGGCGAGCGGGGGCCACTCTTCATCGCGGTGCGCGGGCCTCTCACTGTTGCGGCCTTTCTTGTTGCGGAGCACAAGCTCCAGACGCGCAGGCTCAGTAGTTGTGGCTCACGGGCCTAGTTGCTCCGCGGCATGTGGGATCTTCCCAGACCAGGGCTCGAACCCGTGTCCCCTGCATTGGCAGGCAGATTCTCAACCACTGCACCACCAGGGAAGCCCTGCCAGGCCATTTTTAATGGAAAAATATCTCATTTGAAATGAGAAATATACATTTACATATCAACATTGACTGTGTTATGTGCTGGTCTCTTTTGTAATCGTGTAAAGAATTATGCATTATGAGGCAGTATTTTAGTTTTTCTCTTAATCTGGTAAACACTATAAAATTGGTGGCACTCTTATCCTACCCCTCCCTCAAGTAGCATAAAATATTTCTTAATCTCATACTTCGTTATGGTATCACAGATATCAGTGAAGTCTGAAATAATGGGATTTTGCTGTTTGGTTAAGAACTTTTTACATGAAACTATGATTCTACCCCAGCAAATTGGAGTACTTAAGTGGAATGAGGTTTGCTGGTTCCTATCCTGACTTCCAAACGTTATTCTTAATTTTTCTGTATTTTTTCATACAGTCTTCTTGTATTGTTCAGGTTTTCCTCAAGACTTGCCTGTCTTGGTCCCCAGACTGTCTTTAAATATCTTTCATTTGCTTCTGTCTTTTTCAGACAGGCATTTACCAAGTGGCTGTTAATGTGCAAATACTATTTGCAGGGTCTGTCTACTGCGTACACACACAGTTGTTACCATGTCAGTTAAATTTCTCCATTTTCTAATGAGAGGTATGAACTCATATAATCTATAATGATTTAACAACTTTTTTTTCCAGTTTTATTGAGATGTAATTGATATATAGCACTGTATAAGTTTACGGTGTTAGTGACTTGACTTACATATATTGTGAAATGTTTACCACAATAAGTTTTGTTAACAGTCATCATCTCATATAAATACAAAAACATTTTTTTTCCTTGTGATGAGAACTCTTAGGATTTACTCTCTTAACAGCTTTCAGATATACCATATAGCAGTGTTAACTCTACTTATCTTATAATTGGAAATTTGTATCTTTTGACAACCATCATCCAATTCCTCCACCTCCCACCCCAACAGCTGGTAACTACAAGTCTGATCTCTTTTTTTAATGAGGTTTTCTTATTTATTTATTTATTATTTTTTGGCTGTGTTGGGTCTTTGTTGCTACACGTGGGCTTCTCCCTAGTTGTGGCGAGCGGGGGCTACTCTTCATTGTGGTGCGTGGGCTTCTCATTGTGGTGGCTTCTCTTGTTACGGAGCACGGGCTCTAGGCACGCGGGCTCAGTAGTTGTGGCTTGCGGGCTCTAGAGCGCAGGCTCAGTAGTTACGGCGCATGGGCTTCGTTGCTCCGCGGCATGTGGGATTTTCCCGGACAGGGCTCGAACCCATGTCCCCTGCATTGGCAGGCGGATTCTTAACCACTGTGCTACCAGGGAAGCCCCCATGAGTTTGTTTTTATTTTTGTTTTTCTGTTTGTTTTTTAGATTCCACATAAGTGAGATCATACAGTATTTGTCTTTTTCTGTCTTATTTATTTCACGTAGCATAATGCCCTCACGGTCTGTCCATGTTTTTGCAAATGGCAGTATTTACTTCTGTTTTGTAGCTGAATAATATTCCATTGTATATTAACAACTGTTTATTGAAAACCTGTTACTGTATGTGAAGCTACTTTTCCTAGGTCTTAAGGTGGAAGTTTTTTTTTTTTTAATGAATTTATTTATTTTTATTTTACTTATTTTTGGCTGCGTTGAGTCTTCGTTGCTGTGCATGGGATTTCTCTAGTTGCGGTGAGCGGGGGCTACTCTTCGTTGCAGTGCATGGGCTTCTCAATGCGGTGGCTTCTCTTGTTGCGGAGCACGGGCTTTAGGCGTGTGGGCTCTGTAGTTGTGGCTCGCAGGCCCTAGAGCGCAGGCTCAGTAGTCGTGGTGCACGGGCATCGTTGCTCCGTGGCATGTGGGATCTTCCGGGATCAGGGCTCGAACCCTTGTCCCCTGCATTGGCAGGCAGATTCTTAACCACAGCGCCTCCAGGCAAGCCCAAGGCAGAAGTTTTGATACTATCCTCCTCCTGCTTTCCTTTAGGACTCAATTAAGAGTGTTTTTTGGTTTTTTTTTAACTCACATCTCAGTGCCATCATCCATGTGTGCATGTATATGTGAGCACGCTCATATGTTTCAGGGTGGGGAAGGGTATTGAGGACTCTTTCCTAAGGAGTTTGGGTCTCAAAGGATTGTTAAATATCATAAAATTGAATTTTTTAGCCTGAAAAAGCTGCTGTTAAGGAAAGCAAATATTCTCTTTCAGGGTCAGTGGCAAAGAAAAAGCCAGGTGGATTAATCATGTATAACAGTTGTTTTTTCCCAGTACACATAGAGACATGGCTTAAATGATGGTAAGTCATAGGCAAGATGGGAAAAAATTCTTTGAAGTTCAGATTCTGGGTTTTCTTGGTAAACATTTGTTATTCTTTAATTCCTAAAATTGTTCAAACCCTCAAAAAATTCTTTTCCCAAGGTTTGCCCGTACTACCTCTTAGATTATTGAGTTCCTAATATATATATATATATATATTTTTTTTTTTTTTTTTTACATGTCAAAAAATATTCTCTGCATCTTTTTTTTTTTTTTTTTTGAACTTGCCTCACTTTCTTTTAGCATTTTTGGAGTAGAGAATCCTTCTTAATGTCTTTATTCTTCTTAATGTCATCCCCCCTTCTTAATTGGTCTTATCTGGTGTTTTCCATTCCATTTTACATTTTATGAAGAGCAACCAGAACTACAGTCAGGTTTGGCACATTATAGCCTTATATGAAGGTAGAATGTGATGGTCCTTTTAGTTTTCAGTGCCTTTCTTCATTTCATGGCTTTCCAATATTTTGTTGGTTTCTTAATCTGAAGCAGATTAAAGTCCTCACTAAAGTCTGCAGGGAACTCCTAGGTCCCCTTTTTAGATTAAGAATTATAGCTTTTTCATTATGAAAGCAATATGTGTGTTTTAGAGAAAATTTGGAAACTAAAGAAAGTAAAAATTTTCATAGTCCAAACAAACAAAACCCATTTTGTGTTTTGGTAAATTCCCTTATGGTCTTCTTTTCTGTGTATAATATTTTTATATGAATATGTGTTTTTATCTTTTTGTAAACTTAATTTTAGATAAACAGTTTCCACATTTTAATTTGTAAAAGTTATTCTTAATAATTCCACAGCATTTGGTGGATGAATATAGTCTTAATTCCCTTAACCATTAATTCCCGTTGTTAAAAAGACTTTCAAATTATTTATTTTATTTTATTTTTTTTTTGCAGTACGTGGGCCTCTCACTGTTGTGGCCTCTCCCGTTGCGGAGCACAGGCTCCGGACGTGCAGGCTCAGCGGCCATGGCTCACGGGCCTTGCCGCTCCTCATGTGAGATCTTCCCAGACCGGTGCACGAACCCGTGTCCCCTGCATCGGCAGGCGGACTCTCAACCACTGCACTGCCAGGGAAGCCAGCTTCTCTTTTTCATTTTTAAAGATCTTGTTCTTTCTCGGGTTGCCATATGTTTTGTTTTTAATATTCCATTCCTGGGTCCTGTGATTAAATATTCAGTTGGGTTAAAATATTTGAGCTAAAAAAAGAAAACACTAATTCGAAACTATACATGCCACCCCAGTTTTCATAGCGGCATTATTTACAATTGGCAAGATATGGAAACAACCTAAGTGCCCATCAACAGATGAGTGGATAAAGAAGACATGGTATATAAACACAGTGGAATACTACTCAGCCATAAAAAAGAATGAAATTTTGCCATTTGCAGCAACATGGATGGACTTGGAGGGCATTATGCTAAGTGAAGTAAGACAGAGAAAGACAAATACTGTATGATATCACTTACGTGTGGAATCTAAAAAATACAATCAACTAATGAATATAACAAAAAAGCAGACTTATAGGGAACGAGCTAGTGCTTACCAGTGTTGGGGGGGCAATATGGATGGAAGAGGAGTGGGAGGTACAAACTATTGGGTGTAAGGATCAAGGATGTGTTGTACAAAATGGGGAATATAGCCAATATTTAAATGGAAAGTAACCTGTAAAAAGTATATAAAAAATTTTTTAAAAATTAAGCTAATATCCATTATCAAGCAGACATCTCTTTATATTTCTTTGTGGAATCTAGTGGCTTGGGGATTGTTTTCTTTTTTTTTTTTTTTTTTTTTTTTTTTTTTTTTTTTTTTGTGCCTTTTGCGGAGCACAGGCTCCGGACGCACAGGCTCAGCGACCATGGCTCACGGGCCCAGCCGCTCCGCTGCATGTGGGATCTTCCCGGACCGAGGCACGAACTCATGTTCCCTGCATCGGCAGGCGGACTCTCAACCACTGCGCCACCAGGGAAGCCCTGGGGATTGTTTTCTTAAAGAAATTTTCTCCCCTGGATTATGTTGGTACAATATGATACTTTAATACCTTGTACTCATTAAGTATTATTTCACAAGATATTTTTCCTTAGTAGTTGGAAGGTAACATTTATCTCATAGCTATTTCTCCTTGACCACTATTTCCTTTTATCCCACTAGACGTGTGTGTGTGTGTGTGTGTGTGTGTGTGTGTGTGTGTGTTGGTTTTATTTCAGTCATACATTATCCTCCTGAGTGATAATAGTTGAGGACACTTATCGGACTTGAAATCTCATGCACTCTATGAGCATAGTAAAAATTTAATAATGATGCTAGTTTACTTTACAAAAAGCTTTTAAGAATAGTGGTAGCTCACCAGTACTGTAATTTATAATAATTAGTATTCAGCCTGTACTCAGTGGAATAGTCTTTTTTCCATAACTAAACTTTTTATTTCTCCTTCCATTTCCAGGTTGCCATCACGAAAGCCAAGGTGGATTTCTCCAGTGTAGTGTGCCTGCCCCCTTCCGTCATTGCTGTGAATGGGCTGGACGGAGGAGGGGCTGGCGAAAATGATGATGAACCAGTGCTGGTGTCCCTGTCCGCGGCACCCAGCCCCCAAAGCGAAGCTGTTGCCAATGAACTGCAGGAGCTCTCCTTGCAGCCCGAGCTGACCCTAGGCCTCCATCCTGGCAGGAATCCCAATTTGCCTCCACTTAGTGAGCGGAAGAATGGTGAGTAGATATGGAATTATTGAATTGCCTGATTGAACCAAGGTCTTCATGTTTCTAATGTCATAGATCCTTACTTTGTTTTATGTCTCTTGAAAGTTTCTTATAATGTTAATATTTCTTATAAAATAGAGAAATGATAAGTTTAGGTGGTCATTGTAAGCCCAACATTTCCTGCGTGGGTTATCATAATTGGTTTCTGGGTTTTTTTTCCTACTTCTTTGCTTCTCCCTATGTAATAGTTCTCATTTTGTAAACCCATGTACACATTTATGTAATACATATATTAATTGGAGAGGGAGAACTATATTGTATGTGTTCTTCAGCAACTTGTGTTTATTGTTCAATATTTATTTTCCCTGTGAGTTATTAAAGGTATTCTGTAATTTCTTCTAATCTGTGAATCACCATTTATTGAATAGTTCTTCTTTTCCCTAGTGATCTTTTTTTTTGGCTGTGCCACATGGCATGTAGGGTCTTAGTTTCCTGACCAGGGATCAAATCCATGCACCCTGCAGTGGAAGTGTGGAGTCCTAACTGCTGGACCACCAGAGAATTCGCTTCCCTAGTGATCTTTAATGCCAGCTTTATTCTGTTTCTCTGTGTACAGGAGTTAGTTTTTGGGCTCTCTGTTGTTTCACTGATCTCTCTATCTCTGTGTCTTTACATCATTTTAGTTACTGTTGCCATCTGTTAGGACAGGTCTCTCTTTGCCTTTTTCTTCTTTAAAGTTGTTTTGGCTAATCTTGCCCTTTTATTTTTCCATAATTTTAGAATTAGCTTGTGAAGTTCTATAAGAAAACCCATTGGGGTTTTCTCATCCAACACTTTATTATGAAAAAATTCCAACATATGATGAAATAGAGAGTTTTACACTGCACACCTTTATATCCACCACTCAGATTCTACCATTAACATTTTATAATATTTTCTTTATAGTAGATCTATCCATCCCACTGTCCATCAATCCACCTTATTTTTTGGATACATTTCAAAGTAAATTGCAGACATCAGTATATTTCCATTTTATTGAGGTATGACGCTGATACAGAGTAACACAAATTGTAAGCATCCTGGTTGTTATTACAAACAAAGTGAGTACACCTGTGCGTAATTACTATTTAATAAAGAAATAAAATATTTCCAGCACCCCAGAACCACCCCTTGTGCTTCTTTCCAATCAGTACTCCCTCTTCCTGATCAGACGAAACTACCATCCTGACTTTTAACACAATAGTTTAGTTTTGCTTGTTTCTAAACTTGATGTAAATGGAATCATGCTGTATGGTGTTCTGTTGGTGGCTTCTTTTATGTTTTTGAAATTCATTTGGGTTGAATTGTGTGTGGCAATAGTTCATTTTCATTGCTATATAACCAGTCCATTTTATGAATGTAATTTGTCCATTTTTACTTTTGATGGATATTTGGTTTGTTTTAGTTTGAGGCTCTTATGAATCATGCTGTGAAGTTCTTGCTGGGATTTTGATTTGAAATATATCATTTATAGGTTAAGGGGGAGAATATACATTTTAAATATTGGGTCTTCCTGTCCATTAGTTAGTTTTATCTCTCCAATTAAAAAGGCTGCCTTTAATATCTACCCACAGATTTTATAATTTTTTCCATAAAGGTTATGCAAATATTTTATTAGGTATATTCCCTGGTATCTGTTTTGGGGGTAGACATTATAAGTGGTATATTTTTATAAAATATTTTTTGACTCTTTGATACTGGGGTTTAGAAATACCAAACCTTTTCAAAACTCCTCTGGCTTTTCTACGTCTGTACCTTCCATTTGGGAAACCCGCCCCCCCCTCCCCACCAAACCCCACCCTGCTGCCTTCTTGCTAACTCTTACTTGTCCTTCAGTATTGTGTTCAGACATCACTCCCTTTGAGGAGCCTGTCCTCACTCATATTCAGTGTTAGGTGTCCCTCTTTGTGTTTGTCCAGTTGCCCTTTGTCTTCGTACTTCATCACCCTGTGTTGTAATTGGAATTCTCCACCCAGTGGGCCTTTGAAAACTGAAATCAGACATTGTCACACTCCTCTCTCAGAACTCTTCAGTATCTTCTCATGAGGCTTATGATGAAATCATAGTTTTTACGACGTGGTCTTGGTATCACCTCTCACCTGATTTCTTTCTTTTTTTTTTTTGTAGCTTAAATCTATTACCTCACAGCTAACCCATGAACAACATCACCTGATTTCTTACCTCTGTTCCCCAGCTCACTCTATTCCAGCCACACTTACTTTCTTGTTATTTCTTGAACATATCAAGTATGCTACTGCCCCAGGGCCTTGATACTTGTGCTGTCACTGAAGTTCCTGCACAAATGTTATTTTCTCTGGGAGGCCTTTCCTGCCTATCTTATTAAAATAGCACCTCCCATTACTCTCTATCCTGCTTTGTTTTTCTTCTAAGCACTTATTATGACCTGTGTGTGTGTGTGTATGTGTTTGTACATGTGTGTATATATGTTTGTTGTCTGCATTTCCCCTCTCTGATAGTACATTTCATGAGTCCAGAAACTTTATTTTATTCACAGTGTATATTCAACTCCTGGCTCATAGTGGGCACCCAATAAATATTTGTTGAATAAATAGATGAATGGTTTACTTGTTTGTGGCAAGAACTCTGTTTTACATGCGTAGTGGGAAATGTAATGGAAACTCAGGCATTTTTTATTTTGGGAAATAGTGGACACTCAAGCAGTTTTCTTTCTTTTTTTTAATTTTTTTTTATTTTTATTTTTTGCGGTACGCGGGCCTCTCACTGTTGTGGCCTCTCCCGTTGCGGAGCACAGGCTCC